CTCAAAACAGCTCTTTTGAATTCTCTGTCTGAAAGGTCACATATCTGTCTCTCCATGATTGGTCACTGGTGCCTTGTTGAGTTCATTTGGTGAGGTCATGTTTTCCTGGATGGTCTTAATTCTTGTGGATGATCATCGGTGTCTGGGCATTGAAAAGTTAGGTATTTATTTGCAGTCTTGGCTTGTTTGTACCTGTCCTTATTGGGAAGGTTTTCCAGACATTCGAAGGGACTTGGGTATTGTGATGTAAGTTTTTGGTCACTGCAGCCATATCTGCATTAGGGGGCACCCCAAGCCCAGTAATGCTGAGGCCCTTGCAGATTTATAGGGGTACCTACCACCTTGGTGGTCTTGGGTAAGATCAGGAAAAATTCTCTGGATTATCAGGCAGAGACTCTTGTTCTTTTGCCTTACTTTATCCCAAACAAATAAGAGTCCCTCTCTCCGTGCTGAATTGCTGGAGCTGGCAGATGAGTGACACAAGTGCCCCTGTGGCCAGCCTAATACAGATATAGCTGCAGTGTTCAAAAACCAGAACTGTGCTGGGTCAAACTGGGTCTTGCCCAAGGTCTGCAATAATCACTGCCTGGCTACCAACTATGCTTGCCCAAGGCCCTATGGTGCTACACTCAGTAGGTGGTGAAGCCAGCCAGGCTTGCGTCCTTCCCTTCAAGGTGGCAAGTTCCTCTCAGTCCTGGGTGAGTCCAGAGATGCCATCTTAGAGCCAGGGCCTGGCATCAGAAATGGGAATCTACTTGGCGTTCTATTCTACTGTGGCTGAGCTGGCACTGAAGCCACAAGACAAGGTCCTTCCTACTCTTCCCTCCTCTTTACACGAGCAGAGGAGTGTCTCCTTGTGGGCACCCCTGTCTGAGGCCCGTGGTAAGTACTGCCTGGCTACTATCGATATTTACTCAAAGTCCAGGGTCTCTTCAGTCAGCCTTTGGTGACTGCTGTCCGGCATGGGACTCTCCCTTCAGGACGATGGTCTTCCTCAAATGCCGTCTAAGAGCCAACACCTGGAATCGGGGATCCCAAGAGCTCACTTGGTGCTCTACCCCACTGTGGCTGAGCTGGTGGCTAAACTGTAAGACAAGGCCCGTTTACTCTTCCCTCTCCCTTCTCAGGCATGAGGACTCCCCGTAGCCACCAAAGCTGTGTGTAAGCTGGATCACACCTGAAGCCGGCATAGCTCTGAGTCTCACCCTCACTGCTGATTATTTGAGGTCCAAGAGCTCTTTGATCAGTAATTGGTGAATCCTCCCAGGACTGAGCAGGATTCTAGGTTTGGGAAGTTCTTTGATATTATCCCTTTGAATAAACTTTCTAGCCCTATCTTTCTACTTCCTCTTTAAGACCAATAACTCTTAGCTTTGTTCTTCTGAGGTGATTCTTCAAGGCAGTGGGTTCCCTTCTGGCCCAGGGTGTGTCTAGAAATGTCATCCAGGAGTTAGGACCTGGAATGGAGGCCTCAGGACTCTACCCAGTGCCCTGTCCTGCTGAGCTGGTCTCCAAGTTGCAAGACAAAGTCTTCTTTACTCTTCCCTCTCCTCAATCAGAAGGAAGGAGTCCCTCTCGGAGCTGTGAGTTACGCTGCCTGGGGTTGGGGGAGGGGTGATGCAAGCACTCCCTTGACTTGTCCCAACTGGTATCAGAAACAGGGATCTACTTGGTGTCGATCTGCCCAGAGCCCCCCAAGTCTACTGGCTCCAAGCCCCGCACAGCACCAGGACTTCTCGAGGAATTGCGGTTCTTGTGACCTAGACTGGCTTTCAAGTTTATTTAGAACCCCAGATCACTTTTGCCTGCAGTGGTAGGGCTTGCCAGAACTTGGTTTCCAGATGCTGGGATGTGCATTTCCCCTCTTGGTAGGGCTGGCCTAACTGCTCCCTCTGTGAGCAACAGCTGAGTCCTGAGTGTTGCTTTCTGCTGCATGAGTTCCAATGCAAAGTCCCACAATCATTGTGCTCTCCCTTCCCCAAGCACAGAGAATTGTGTCTCCCTGCCCTGTGGCCACTGCCAGGGGTGGGGGAGGGGTGGTGTCAGAAATCCAAGACTCTTTTCTACCCTCTTCAGTGCCTCTTTCAGTGGTGTGAAGTTCAAACCCGGTACTGTGATCACTCACCTGATTTTTGGTTCTTATAAAGATGCTTTTTTGTGTGTGGATAGTTGTTTGATTTGGTGCTCCTGTGGGGAGGATGATCAGTAGAAGTTTCTATTTGGCTATTTTGCTCCACTTCCTCTCCATTGTGTGGCTTCCGTCTTTTGAGTGGACCCAAAATTCTAGGCTTGGTTAGCCCCCACAGTTATCTATCTGTCAGTGTCCCTGGGATATTTGGTCTCCTTTCTTCACCTCTGCAGCAATGCTCTAAGGCACATATCTGAGAACTGTGATTGACATGTTGGTATGAATTATATTATCCTGTTACAGTGGAAAGATCTAGGACTTTGGAATAAAAAGCCCAGAGGATATTTTTGGCCTTTACTGTTGAGTGATATTTTCAACACTGTCAGGGCCATCGTGGTCCAGTCACTATCCATTGAGCCCTCAAAAGAGAATGATTGTGATGATCTTACCTCACAGTTTTGATGTGCTGATCAAAATGAGATAATGCATGGCAAATGTTTTGGACCAGTATTATGTTCCAAAAAAGAGTCACTAGTTTTATTTAACCTTAAGACAAATTACGGAATGCAAGACCATGACTCCTGCTGATTACGTTTCAAATATTTAGAACAGTGGAGAATTTCTTCTGAAATCAAACCACAGAGGCCGTCCCCTTGGCACAATGCTGGACCCAGGCGCATAAAAAGACCTTAGCATGTATACTCCCAAGAGCAGTAAAATAATTGCTCTCTACCTTATTTTAAAGACAAGCAAAGGGAAGTTACATATAATAGAAGAAAAACTGCTGTGTTCACATGATCTAATTACGATTTCTAGCTGTTTAGCTAGACGGAAATAGTTAAGGATGTAGGTGTGTGAAAGAACAGGGTCAAATCAAGTGTTTTTAGCCAAAACATTCTAGTATAGAATAATTATTGTAATAAAAGCATGATGTCAAGTGAGAGCTCAGCAAGCAGTCTTTGCAACTGATGGTTCATATTAATGTCAAAGAAGAATGAAAAAAATGAAAGAAAGTTACAGGAAAGATTTCTCAAGAATTTCTGAGTTTCTGAGGAGACTTTTGCCCAGCTTTAAAGTTCCCAATATTTATATTTTGCACAATTTAATAGGCAGGATGTTCAAGTGCTAGTGAACAATGTAAAAAAACCCTCCAGATTTTATATGATACCATATGATATTCCTTTGGGGAGGATATGATATTCATATGGTATCATATAAAATATCATGTGATAGTCAATACTTTAGGATTAATTTAACAATCATTATATAAGGTAGATTAAAAGTATTTTCAACAGGATTACTTGAAAATAGTACTTTGTTATAAAATGATTTTTTTTTTTTTGAGATAGAGTTTTGTTCTTTTTGTCCAGGCTGGAGTACAGCGGTGTAATCTTGGCTCACTGCAACCTCCAGCTACTGAGTTTAAACGATTCTCCTGCCTCAGCCTCCCAAGTAGCTGGGATTACAGGCATGTGCCGCCATGCCTGGCTAATTTTGTATTTTTAGTAGAGACAGGGTTTTGCCATGTTGGCCAGGCTGATCTCAAACTCCTGACCTCAGGTGATCTGCCTGCCTCGGTCTTCCAAAATGCTGGAATTACAGGCATGAGCCACTGTGCCCAGCCAAGAGATGAATTTTCAAAACCTATCAATTTTTTAAATTGTGATTTGTATTGACAAAGAAACTAAGAACACTAAGAGTTTTGCTTATTTGTCTAGTTTTAATGTCAGCAATGATCTGGGCTCTGCCAAAATCAGGTGTTATCATTTAAAAACATTATTTGTAGATGCAAAATTATATAATATTGTATCTGCCGCATATCACTTTCATCCAGTCAATGGAGACCTCAATCTTTGAATTATAGCAGCCCTTTGAATTAATGTTCTTTATTATGGCTTTAATATATGTACACAGTAATTTTCTTTATTAAAACAGGGTCTCATTCTGCCTCCCAGGCTGGAGTACAGTGGTGTGATCTTGACTCACTGCAACCTCCACCTCTTGGGCTCAAGAAGCAATTCTCCTACCTCAGTCTCCCAAGTAGCTGGGACCACAGGCACATGCACCATGTCCAGCTAATTTGTATATATATATATATACACACACACACACACACACAAATATATATATTTATATACTATATATAATACATATGCACACAAATGTATTTGTATTTTGTATTATGTATAATATATACATATCTGTATGTATGTTATATAATGTATGTTATATATTATATAAATATATATATATTTTGTGCAGATGGGATTTTGCCATGTTGCCCAGGTTGCACAATATTTTTATACTCCTCCGTTTACCGGATGTGACCAAATTTCTCTTACCTTGAAAGTACACTAGATTCGTGACTTGCTTCAAATAAGCAGGATAAAATGGAAGTAGGAATGTGAGTCTTGGGACACTTGGGAAACCATACTGCCACAAGGCAGTATGGTTTCTTCTTTGCTTACTCACCCTTGGATTTCTTGCTCTGAGGGAAGTTAGCTGCCATATTGTGAGGAGATCCCTGTGTGGTAAGAAACCAAGGCCTATCAAGTGAGGATGATAGATGCAGGAGGCAGACAAGGGAACCTGAACAGGGTCTTGCCTGGGCATGTCCACAACAGACTGGAGGCCCACTTGCCCTGGGGGAATGGGGTGGCACACCAGGAATTCATGCTTTATGCAGAGGGAGGAGCCTGGCCTCTCAAACTTGTATGTGGTGGCCTGATATTCAATCTGTGATGTGGCAGCCTATTGGCAGGATCCCCTCTTTCTTTGCCGAGAGCTTTCTTTTCACCTAATAAATCTGCCTCCTTAACCTTTGATGTTCCACTAATTTTTCCTGGTTGTGAGACAAAAATCCTGATTTTAGCTGAACTAAGGAGCAAAAAATCCTGCATCAAGGGTTCCATCTTAGAAGTGAATCCTCCAGCCCCAGTCAAGCCTTCAGATGACTACAGCCTCTGCCAACCTCCTGCCCAAAACTGTAAGAAAGACCCTGAGCCAAAACCACTCATATCAGCCGTGTTGAAATTCCCAACCCACAGAAAATAAGATCATAAATGTTTGCTGTTTTAAGCTGCCAAGCTTTGGGGTAATTTGTTACACAGCAATAGATAACTGATACAGTCTCGGAAGTAACAAATACCTTTTCTGTGTCCACCAGGAGAAGATCATCTGAGGTAAAGTGCCTTTTCATTAATATGCTACTTGAATATATGACAGGACTATAGAATTCATCAGACTTCTAATACCACATGGAATTGGGTCAGGGCTGGAGGGAGCACTCGAGGCCAGCCAATCCAAGAAAGGCTCTCATTCCTTTCCCCATTGTATCAGTGTTCTACTGCTACTGTAACAAATTGCCACAAATGTAGTGACTTTAGACAACACAACTGTAATATCTTATTGCTTTGGAGGTCAGAAGTCCACACACTATCTGCAGGGCTATGATCTTTCTGGGGGCTTTGTGGGAGAATCCACTTTCTTGTCTTTACCAGCTTCTGGAGGCGGCCCACACTCCTTGGCTCACTGCCGTACATCACTCTGACCTCTCCTTCTGGCATCACATCTTCTTTGACTCTCACCCTCCTGCCTCCCACTTAGAAGAAATTTTATGATTACTTGGGCCCACCCAGGCAATCTGGAATAATCTTCTCAAGAGTGAAGATCTTTAGCTTAATCACATTTGCAAAGTCCCCTTTGCCATGTAAGGTAACATATTCCTGGGTCCAGGGATCAGCCATGGACATCTCAGAGTGGCCACTTTTCTGCTACCATGCTCACGGTTCAAAATGCAGATCCAAGTGGCTCTCTGGTCTCTTCCATTTGCAGAGCAGCACCACGCCACCAACCCCACTTTATTCTATCTGAGGGGCCTTCTGATTTCCTCTCTTCCCACATGTTTGTCTTGTTGGGCGAGGGCCCTTCATACTTCCTTGTTTTACCAAACCTGAGTCTTCCCTAAGAACACTGCTTCCACTACAGTTCTCTGAGAGCAGAGTTTTCAAACTCCTATGCTGTGCTGGCCACAGGAGAGGAAGGGTTTCTGTATCATCCTAGTTCTGGGTTGTCATTTCCAAGACATTTATCTTTGCCCTTCATTCAATGTCTTCTTCATTTAATAATTATGCTGCCTTCCTCGCTTATCACTGACATTTATCAACTACATCTATTTTTTTTTTGTTTCTTTCCAAAACTCAACATTTCTCTTCATCCTGCTATTTTCCTAGGGAACTGAAGAGTGTAGGAAGATGACTTATCTCATGCAGTGTCCCGAGCTCCCCTCAGCCTCAACTCCAGTGACTTTGCCTCCATGCTCATAATCATACTCTGAACCTTTCTTCATCACTGTCTAAAACTCTTCCTCCTCTGAAAGTTTAAAGGACAAGATTCCACTCGCTCATCACAACTTTCCTATCATTCCAGCCATTCCATTCCTCATGCCCACAACACCCCATCACCACTAGCAGTGGCTCTAGTCCTTAATATGTTTGTAATAGTTTAAAAAATTATTCCCTCCACAAAAAAGTTAAGCATAGAATAACCATATGATCCAGCAATTCTACTTCCAGGCACATACTCACAAGCATTGAAAGCTGGGATTTGAATAGACATTTGTACACCCAAGTTTATGGCAGCATGATTCACAGCAGCCAACAGAAGAAGCAACCCAAGTGTCTGTCAACAGCTGAATCGATGAACAAAATGCAGCCGATGCATACAATGGAATATGAGTCAACCTTAAAAAAGGAAGGAAATTCTGATGTGTGCTACAACATAGAGGAATCTTAGGTTTAGGATATTTTGTTAAATGAAATAAGCCGGATAAAAAAGGACAAAAACAGTATGATTTCACTTATACGAGGTATCTAGAATAGGCAAATTTATAGAAACAGAAAATAGAGGGCCAGGCAGGGTGGCTCATACCTTTAATCCCAGCATTTTGGGAGGCTAAGGCAGGCAGATCACTTGAGGTCAGGAGTTCAAGACCAGCCTGGCCGAGATGGTGAAACCCTGTCTCTACTAAAAATACAAAAATTAGCCAGGTATAGTGGTGCATGCCTGTAATCCAAGCTTCTTGGAAGGCTGAGGTGGGAAGATAGCTTAAACCTGGGAAGTGGGGGTTGCATTAAGCTGAGATGGCACTACTGCACTCCAGCCTGGGCAACAGAGTGAGACTGTCTCAAAAAAAAAGGGAGGAGGGGATAATAGAATGGTGGTTGGCAGGGGTTGGGGAAAAGGGGAGAATTGGGAGTTAGTATTTAATGAGTACAGAGTTTTAGTTTGGGAATATGCAAAAGTTCTGGACATGGAGGGTGGTGATGGTTGAACAACAGTGTGAATGTGCTTAATGCCACTGAAATATGTATCTAAAAATAACAAGAATGGTAAATTTTATGTTATATATATTTTACCACAATAAAAAATTCTCCCCATCTTTCAGGTGAGGAAATCAAGACTCAGAGAGGTTAAATATCTTGCCCAAGAGCCAGTGACGGTCATCCACTTTGCCAGGCTCAATGTTGGAGCCAGGATTTGGACCTGAGCAGTTGACTCCTGAGCTCCCACTCTTAATCACTATCCCATTAAGAATGACCAAAGCTCTGACTCTCACTTGTTCCTCAGCCTATCACCACCTTTCCAGTCTGCCTCTGCCCCTGGGGATTCTTAAATACCCCCACATTTCCAGCTTTCCAGGCAAATGGGCTTCTATAGCCTGGGGTCAGCCCTAGGGCTCATAGACACAGGTGCTGGCTGTGGGCTGTGAACACTGAAATGGTGAAGGGTCTGGGGGACTTGGCAGAGCACTGTGGGCACCTGTCCTGCCTGTGCGTCTTTGGACCGCTCTAGTTTCCCCTTTCCAGGGCGGCCTGTCCAAACCTCGCCACACTTCTGAAAGCAGCCTTCCTCTCCTGCCACTATTCTCTCAGCAGATGGTCTTCTACTTTCTTGGGAAAACTGCAGCTTCCAGGCTTGCCTCAGGCACATCCGTCTTCCTGACCACTGATAATTCATCCATCTGGGCTCCAGCTCTCATTCCCTCTCATCTCCATGTGGCTCCCATTCCACCCACGGTCCCCCTCTCTATTTTCTATGGTCAACCTTTTGCTATCTGTTGTTTCTGCCTTTTTGGAAATGTGTGTAAATGTACCCCATCTTAAAAACAAATAAAAAGTTGGCCAGGCATGGTGGCTCATGCCTGTAATCCCAGCACTTTGGGAGGCCAAGGCAGGTGGATCATTTGAGGTCAGGAGTTCGAGACTAGCCTGGCCAATATGGTGAAAGTCTGTCTCTACTAAAAATAAAAAAATTAGCCGGGTGTAGTGGTGTATTCCTGTAATACCAGCTACTCAGGAGGCTGAGGTAGGAGAATTGCTTGAACCCAGGAGGCAGAGGCCTAGATTGTGCTACTGTACTCCAGCCTGGGTGATGGAGTATGATGCTGTCTCAAAAATAAATAAATAAATAGATAAACAAACAAACAAAAAGTCAAAAACCCAAAAAGACAAGTAGAAAAACCAACCTTTGCCCTGTGTTCTCCCTAGCTATTGTCTACTTCAGAGCTTCCTTACAAGTCTTCGCCTTCTTGTCTCTCATTTACTCCTCAACCTTCCTCAGTTCAGTTTCTACCCTATCACTTCACTAAAACTTGTCCTCCTAATGTCCGCCCAAATAATAACGTAACTGCATTAGTCCATTTTTACCCTGCTGTAAAGAAAAACCCAAGGCTGGGTAATTTATAAAGAGGTTTAATTGACTCACAGTCCTCATGGCTGTGGAGGCCTCAGGAAACTTATAATTGTGGCAGAAGGGGAAGCAAGCAGCTTCTTCACAAGGCAGAAGGAGAGAGAGCCAGCAAAGGGGAAGCCCCTTTTAAAACCACTAGATCTCGTGAGAACTCCCTCACTATCATGAGAACAGCATGAACAGCATGGGGAAAACTGCACTCATGATCCAATCACCTCCTACCAGGTTCCCCCCATGCACTTGGGGATTACAATTTGAGATGAGATTTGGGTGGGGCCACAGAGCCAAATCATATCAATGACATAACATATATAACATAACACACTATAACATATAAACATGATATTTTAATTACCTAGAGGAGACTTCTCAGTTAAACACTAGCTGATCTTTTCAAGATTTTCAGTTTCCCTTTGCCTCCTTCTTTAAATTATCTCTTCCTTTCATCTTGGTAACACCATTCTTTTCCAAATCTCTATATCCTCCAACTACTCCTTAACACTTAGTGTTTTCTGCAGGGTGCGGTGGCTCACACCTGTAATCTGAGCACTTTGGGAGGCCGAGGCAGGCAGAAGACCTGAGGTCAATTCGAGACCACCCTAGCCAAGACAGTGAAACCCTGTTTCTACTGAAAATACAAAAATTAGCCAGGGCATAGTGGCGCATGCCTGTTATCCTAGCTACTCAGGAAGCTGAGGTGGGAAAACTCCTTGATACCGAAAGATGGAGGTGGCAGTGAGCCCAGATGGCGCCGTTGCTCTCCAGCCTGGGCAGCAAGAGTGAAACACCATCTCAAAACAAAACAAAACAAACAAACAAACAAACAAACAAATAAACAAAAACCCAAAAAACAACTTAGTGTTTTCCAGGCTTGTCTCTCTGTTCGCCCTCAAGTTGAGGGGCTCCCAGCATGGCTTTAGCTCACTACCTGTGTGTGAATGAGTCCTCAATCTCCTTTTCTTCCACTGGCCTCTCTTCCAAGTTCCTACTCACATTTCTAAATGTCTTCTTGGCATTTCCACCCAGTTGTTCCCCAAGGGCATCAAGCTCTCTCCCTTTGCTACCTGATGGAAGGGCCAGCCACTTTGATTCTTTTGTAGCCTCATCTTTCTTTCCCTGACTTTTAAATGTTGGTGTTTCTCAGAAGGCTTGGCCTTGACTTTCCCTTTTCTCACCCTACATTTTTTCAATTACATGCAGATGACTCACAAACTTATATCCTTAATCTAAGACTTTTTCAAAGCTCTGGAACAGGGGTGTTCCATCTTTTGACTTCCCCAGGCCGCCACATTGGAAGAAGAAGAATTGTCTTGGGTCACACATAAAATACACTAACAATAACAATAGCTGGAAAAAAAAGAAATAATATCTCATAATTGTTTTTTGGAGATGGAGTTTCACTTTTGTTGCCCAGGCTGGAGTGCAATGGTGCAATCTCAGCTCACCGCAACCTCTGTCTCCTGGGTTCAAGTGATTCTCTTGCCTCAGTCTCCCAAATAGCTGGGATTACAGGCATGCGCCACCACACCCAGCTAATTTTGTATTTTTAGTAGAGATGGGGTTTCTCGATGCTGGTCAGGCTGCTCTCAAACTCCTGACCTCAGGTGGTCCACCCACCTCTACCTCCTGAACTGCTGGGATTATAAGAGTGAGCCACCACACCCAGACCAATATCTCATAATGTTTTAAGAAAGTTTACCAATTTGTGCAGGGCTGCATTCAAAGCTGTCCTGGGCCACATGTGGCCTGTGAGCTGTGGATTGGGCAAGCTTGCTGTAGACCACTATACCAAGCAATTTTCTTGATTGTTCTTCTTAGGTATCTCAAAGGCTCCTAAACTCAGCAGACACAGAGTAGACTCATGATTTCACCCTACAAATTCTGTTCTTCAGAATTCATTATTTGAACCACTGGTTTTGCCATTCAGTCAGCTGCTTAACAACTCCTGTTCCTTTCCCTCCATAAGGTCACTTTGTAGGAATTTATCAACTTCCATAAGTTTTACTTGTAAGTACTATTTACCTTTAAAAAACAACTTTATTGGAGTATAATTTAGGTACAATAAAATTTGGCAATTTTAAGTGTACAGTTGAATGAAGTTTGATAAATGTACACAGTTACATAGCCACTACTACAGTCAAGATATAGAATCTGGGCCAGGAGTGGTGGCTCATGCCTATAATCCCAGCACTTTTGGAGGCCAAGGTGGGTGGATCACTTGAAGTCAGGAGTCTGAGACCAGCCTGGCCAACGTGGTGAAACCCTGTCTCTACTAAAAATACAAAAAGAATTAGCCAGGCATGGTGGCACACATCTGTAATCCCAGCTACTCCAGAGGCTGAGGCAGGAGAATCACTTGAACCCAGGAGGTGGAGGTTGTAGTGAGCCGAGATTGCACCACTGCACTCCAGCCTGGGCGACAGAGCAAAACTCCATCTCAAAAAAAAAACAAAAAACAAGAAACAAAAACACACACATATATATAATCTTTCCTTCTTTCCATCACTCCAAAAAGTTCCCTTGTGCCCCCTTTTCAGTCATTCTCCTCCCCCATCCCAGCTGTTTCTGGCAACCATTGATTTTTTTTTTTTTTTGTAGAATTTCCAAATTAACAGAATGATATGGTATTAGTCTTTCATGGCTGGCTTCTTTCACTTGGCATAATGCTTTCGAAATTTGCGTTGTTGCACTTTTCCATTCATTCCTTTTTATTGCTGAGTGGTGTTCTGTTGTGGAGATATACCACAGTTTGCTTATCTATTCACTAGGTGTTGGACATTTGGATAGTTTTCAGTCTGTGGCTTTTAGTCTGTTAGCTTTGTAAATAAAGCTAACCCAAGTCTTTGTGTGGACATACATTTTCATTTCTCTTGAGTGAATCTTCTGAGTGAAATTGCTGGGTCTTATGGTAAGAGTATGTAAAACTGCCAAACTGTTTTCCAACGCAGTTGTACCATTCTGCATTCCCATGGACAATGTGTGAGAGTCCCAGCTGTTCTGTGTCCTTACCAGCACTTGATGTGGTCAGTCTTTTAAATGTTAGCATCCTGATAGTTGTGCCATGGAATCTCATTATGGTTTTGGATAGCATTTCCCTAATGACAAATGGCATTGAGCATCTTTCATTTGCTTATTTGCCATTTGTATATCTTCTGAGGCAAAGTATCTGTTCAGATATCTTGCCTATTTAAAAAATTGGTTTGTCTTTTTGCTATTGAGCTGTAAAAGTTCTTCTGTATTCAAGATACAAGTATCAGATACTGTATGTTTTGCAAGTATTTTCTGAGTATACGGTTTGTTTTATTTCATTTTCTTAAAAATGGCAATTGAAGAAAAAAATGGAATTCAGTTTATCACTTTTTTTCTGTTTTAACGAATTTATTTTACAAAAATACTCCTACAGAAATGCACACACACTACCATTATTTGTAGAAGAGAAAACTGAAATCTGGACCCCACCCTCTACCCCTGATTATTGCATCTACCCTGTTCCTAGAGATGAGGTTCAGCCCCTAACACTGCAGGGCTGGAACGTGAGCCTGGGCAGGGGCCTTGGAACCCACCCTAGGCGTGTAAACCCTGGACAGAGATTCAGAAGACTGAGCAAGAGGAAGTAGGCAGTCCAAAATGGAGAAAGAAAAGCAAATTGCAGAGCAATGCACGTGGTATGAGAGCATTTTTACAAGAACCAAAGCTCTGTGTGCTGTGGCCAGGACTGGTTTCTGCAGTAACAGGCTTGGGAAAGGAGGCTACTTGACCGCAAACACTGCTTCTCTCTGGAGACCAGGCTGGGGCAGGAGAATTTCCGTTTATTTTGGATAGTCTTACATGACCTAAACTGTTTTCTTTTTCTACACAGAGACTCTATCATTATTATTTTTAATAGACAATTTTTAGAAGAGTCTTAGGTTCACGGAAAAATTGAGCAGAAAGTACAGAGAGTTTCCATATACTCCCTGCGATACATCATTATCACCCAAAGTCCATAGTTTACATTCAGGCTCACTCTTGTGCCATACATTCTATGGGTTTGGACAAATATGTAACAACACATATCCACCATTAGAGTGTCATACAGAGTAGCTTCACTGCCCCAAAAATCCTCTGTCCCACTCCTATTCATCCTTCCCTGCCCACTAACCCCTGGCAGACACTGATCTTTGCAATCAGGCAGCATAAGTCCTTCAATGTTGTTTTTCCTTTTAAAAATAACTTTGGCTATTCTAGACCTTTTGTATTTCTTTATACATTTCAGAATCACCTTGCCAATTTCTCTAAGGAAGTCTGCTAGGGGCCGGGTGCAGTAGCTTGCGTCTGTAATTCCCAGCTACTCAAGAGGCTGAGGCAGGAGGGTCACTTGTGGTCAGGAGTTTGAAACTAGCCTGGGCAACACAGTGAGACTCCATCTCTAAAACAAACAAGCAAAAAATCGAGATTTATTCTCCCGAATTATCTCTTAGATCTGTTTGTTTCTCTCTGTCTTTATCACAGTTACCACCCTAATAGAAACCAAGATGAACAATAGCCCACTAGCCCACTGACTGGTCCATCTGTCTTCATTTTGGCCCCTCATCTGTTCTTCACCTGTAAATTGAAGTGGTATTTTCTTTCTTTTTTTTTTTTAAGGTGGAGTCTCACTCTGTCGCTCAGGCTGGAGCGCAGTGGTGCCATCTAGGCTCACTGACATGGCTCTCTCCTGGGTCCAAGCAATTCTTCTGCCTCAGCCTCCTGAGTAGCTGGGATTACAGGCATGCACCACCATGCCCAGCTAGTTTTTTTAGAAAATATTTAATAGCAATGGGGGTTCACCATTTTGGCCAGGCTGGTCTCGAACTCCTGATGTCAGGTGATCCATCTGCCTTAGCCTCCCAAAGCACTGGGATTACAGGCATGAGCCACCATGCCTGGCCTCTGAAGTGGTATTTTCAAAATATTTATCTGATCATGTCACCTACTTCAAGGATGTCTCATTATTCCTGTTAAATTAGTGAACAAGCAATATTGCACGGGTACTGATCCATCAGAACACACACTAGCATCTTGGAGCAGCATTTAAAACCTGCTCCCTCCGTATCATGCCAGATATTACTCTTCTATTTGCCAGATTGTGGGGTAGTCCACACAGGGATCGGGCAGCTAGATTTGTGTGTGGAGTACTGGGAGGAACACTTGGGTAGCTCTGGGCAGCAGCTTTTCATCCACAGGCGGGACGTGTGTGATGTCTAAACAGGACGGCCGTGCTGGTGCAGATGGGCTGCCCCTCAGGCCTGCTTCCAAGGCCTTCTGTGGTCTGGCATCTGTCCACTTCTCCAGTGTTGTCTCCTGGCCTCCCTGCTCAGCCACACTGGTTTTCTTTGAGTTCCTTGAAAATGCCACACACTCGCTACAGGGGCCCTTGGACATTCTGCTTCCTTCGTGAATGTCTTTCTTCCCTCTTTCACTTAGCTAACGCCTACTCATCTTTCCCATCTGACACTAATCCTCTAACACTAATTCCTCAGGAAGCTCCCTTAACCCTCAAGGAGGTGAAATCCCGCAATGACAAAACCTCATGGCACCACGTTCTTCTCTCTAGTGGTCATCACAGGGGACATGTATACATATAGTTATGTGATTACTCAGTCAGTTCTCTCCTGTGAGCTCCAGGAGATTGGGGATTGTCTCTCTTTTTGCTAACCTTTGTGATGGGCTCATAGCAGGTGTCCAATCAATACTTGTTGAGTAAATAAATGAAAAACCAAACTCAGTATCTTTCCTGCCAGGCCTATTCTTTCTGAATTTCCCATTTTGGCTAATGGCATCATGTTGCCTTAGTGAGAGTCTTAGAAACCACTCTATATTCTTCCTTCTTTTTTTCCCATTAAGATGGACACAGATCCTGTCAGTTTCACTTCTTAACTTTCACTCGGGTTGGCGGCCTTTCTTGTCTGTACTAGAACAACCTTCCCCAAACTTACCCCATTGTCCCCAGTTTTGCCCTTACCCTGTTTATTCTTCCTGATGCCTTAGGGTGATCCTTTGCACTTGATCGGGGTCAAATCTAAAGTCACTCATGATCTGATTCTTGCTTACTGGTCCAAGGCCACTTGTCTGCCACCTCTCACAGTACATTTCCTGTGCTCTCAGGTTCCCTTAGTGAGAATAAGAAACCCCGGATGCAGGGCCCAGGTTTTATTCATGTCTATTTTTAGAACCCAGGATCATATCTGGCACAGAGAGGGCAAACAAATGTTTGTGGAATTGAATGGAAATGCATAAGACTTATTTTTGTCTCTCCGTGCTGTTACAATGCAGTTCAAGGAACAATGTTCATAAGGATGACTGCAAGTCATTAAGAAGTGGATTAAATTATATTTATAAACTTAACACAGGCCAGGTGCAGTGGCTCATGCCTGTAATACCAGCACTTTGGGAGGCTGAGACTGGTGGATCACCTGAGGTAAGGAGTTCGAGACCAGCCTGGCTAACATGGTGAAACCCCATCTCTACTAAACATACAAAAATTAGCTGGGTGAGGTAAGGAGTTCGAGACCAGCCTGGCTAACATGGTGAAACCCCATCTCTACTAAACATACAAAAATTAGCTGGGTATGGTAGCAGGCCCTGTAATCCCAGCTATTGGGGAGGCTGAGGCAGGAGAATGGCTTGAACCTGGCAGGCGGAGGTTGCAGTGAGCTGAGATTGTGCCATTGCTCTCAGGCCTGGGCAACAGAGCGAGATTCCATCTCACCAGAAAAAAAAAAAAAGTCAAACAAACAAACAAAAACGTAATACACTACATCATGGAAAGTATTCAAATGAGAGTGGTTATGCTATTAAGGTTTGATTCTTAAAGGCATAGTAGTTTAATTGGTTTGGAAAGTTAGCTATGCTAAATCACATTCTGTAAGTCCTTGGGATATCAGGGCAATCTGACTGCGGATTAAAAATATTGTTTCTCTCTTGGGTGGTGGCGGGAGGGAGATTTAGCATTTGCGAATTTGGCACGGTCGTTCTTAAATTCCACATTTACATCATTTTTCTGTTCCTCTATGTTATTGTTATATCGCAAACTTGCAAACTTCTAATGACTTGCTTTTATTTGCTGCTCTGAAAGACTGTGTTTTGGAATTAAAATTAAATTTAGGTATAATATAGAGTGTGGCTGGAGAGGCCCAGAGGCAAAAACGTATGCAATTCAACACGAAACAGGAAGGAATGGTGCCAGCAGGTACCATGACAGACACAGCCTATTTAAGGGACCAAATTTCCATCTGTGTAAGGCAGCTGGCCCAACAAGACTGAGAAACAAAAATCAAAAGGAGATGGCTTCAGATACATGGTATAAATCTCCTTTAAACTAGGGAACTCTTACCAAAAGCTGAACAGCATAATTTCATGAAGCTATTTTAGTGAGGGATGGGGGCTGTTTATGGAACAGCTGTAGTAGAAAGGCTGAATAAGACACTGTAATTATAGCATTTGAGACTCTACGACTTTTTCTAACGTGTGGTATGAACAATTAAGATGATTAAGTGATAATTGTCTCCATTTTCTTATCAGGAAAATGACTTTGCTTCTAAAGGTAAGTAAAATGGTTGCAGCAGTTTCAGTGCTGACCTCCACGTCCAACTTGGAAATGCCACTTGGAATTAAGGTCCAACCTTAGGCTCTGTCCTGAGAAACAGGTGATCTGTCTTCCAACAGCCAACATAAGGCATTGGCTCAGTCAGACCATGTAATTTGAAGTTGTCCTTTTAATAATTCTGTGAATTTTTCAAGTTTGGTCAGCTTTCCTGCTGTGGGTAATGGTACTAACGGACTGATGAAGCCAGATGTTACTGTAAAGTCTTATTTATAGTGAAATCTCATATATTGGCCCTGATTAATATGAAATTTGAGTTAATTTGGACAGGGCCTAACTTACATCTTACCATTATACTATCTTTGTAAAAAAACATTTAAAAATTAAATCTGCCTTATCAATAAGATTTCAGGCTATGTGTGGTGGCTCATACCTGTAATCCCAGCACTTTGGGAGGCTGAGGCAGGCAGATCACCTGAGGTTAGGAGTTCAAGACCAACCTGGCCAACATGGCAAAACCCCGTCTCTACTAAAAATACAAAAATTAGTCGGCATGTTGGTGGGTGCCTGTAATACTAGCTACTCGGGAGGCTGAGGCAGGAGAATTGCTTGAACCTGGGAGGCGGAGTTTGCAGTGAGCTGAGATTGAGCTGCTACAATCCAACCTGGGCAACAGAATGAGACTCTATCTCAAAAAAAGAAATTTCAAAATGATTAAACAACTTTCAGGCACCCTGAAGGATTTAGAAATACTATTTAAATGTAACTTATTATCCTGGTTGCCAAATCACCATTGTCTTTTCACAAAATAAGTTCTGTTAGTAGCTAGTAATGTGTTACCCTACATCCAGTCTTTCATCTCAATACATGTTTTCATTGAATAAATTCTATGTGCTTAATGCAATATTCAGTATTTCTGGAGCTAAAAATAAATACCAAGGAGCCAATAATGCATTTCGCAGGATAAAACTTTCGCCCACAAATATTTTTATAACTAAATGAGAGTATACAGTAATCCCTTAGTATCTGCAGTGGGTTGGTTCCAGACCCCCACGGATACTAAAATCCATGAATGCTCAAGTCCTTTATATAAAATTTTGTGATATTTGAATATAACCTATGCTGTATCCTCCCATATACTTTAAATCATTTCTAGATTACTTATCATACCTAATACAATGTAAATGTCATGTAAATAGTTTTTATACTGTGCTTTAAAATTTTTTTATTGTTTTATTATTATTACTATTTATTTTTTTCAAATATTTTTGATCTGAGTTTAGTTAAATTTGCTGGTACCAAACCTACAGATGACGGAGGGCTGACTGTATAACCATGGGTTAACATGTGTCATGATTAAGTATTACAGAAATTCAAGACTGGGCATCGTGGCTCAAACCTGTAATCTCAGCACTTTGGGAGGCTAAGGTGGGTGGATGACCTGAGGTCAGGAGTTCAAGACCAACCTGTCTAACATGGAGAAACTCCATCTTTGGTATTTTTTTTTTTTTTTTTTTTTTTGAGACGGAGTTTCACTCTTGTTACCCAGGCTGGAGTGCAATGGCGCGATCTCGGCTCACCGCAACCTCCGCCTCCTGGGTTCAGGCAATTCTCCTGCCTCAGCCTCCCGAGTAGCTGGGATTACAGGCACGCGCCACCATGCCCAGCTAATTTTTTGTATTTTTAGTAGAGACGGGGTTTCACCATGTTGACCAGGATGGTCTCGATCTCTCGACCTCGTGATCCACCCGCCTCGGCCTCCCAAAGTGCTGGGATTACAGGCGTGAGCCACCGCGCCCGGCCCATCTTTGGTATTTTTATACCAAAAATTAGCCAGGCGTGGTGGTGGGCTCCAGTAATCCCAGTTACTAGGGAGGCTGAGGCAGGAGAATCACTTAAACCCAGGAGGCAGAGGTTGTAGTGAGCCAAGATTGCGCCACTGCACTCCAGCCTGGGTGACAGGGCCAGACTCTGCCTCAAAAAAAGAAAAAGTATTACAGAAATTCAGAGAGGTAGAGATCAAGGAACTCTGGATTATTGAGGGGCAGCCTTGATAGAGGATGTTTGCCCTATGGATAGAAAGGCAACTTTGGTTATTTCCAAAAGATGACAGCTCAGACTTCTGTCAGTATACCAAGAACTTTTCTGCATTTAATTTAAATGATTAATATTGACTTTTTGGAGGCTGCGAGAGCAGTATATGAGAAGCTCTGTTTCCAGCTGTCCTCCGTGTTTACCCCCATCTCTGTAACTGTTGAGTGTCTCAGGTATGGTTGCTGGGGCTGTCCCATACCAAACCACCAACCCTTAGGGCTGAGGTAGCAGAAGTACTGGCTCAGGAGCTGCTGTTACTCTTGACACTGCAAGGGGTAAACACACGTGAGGCCTTCATGCCTCCCTTATTCTCAAAGATTTTGGGCAAGACTTAAAATTTTCTTTTGCATATCCTCATGCTACAATAGTATTAATTTTCAACTTCCATGGAAACCATACCTCTCACTTATAAGGGACATCCATTATCTTTGCCTACTCGGCATTGATTTTCCCTTTTTCTGACAACAGAAACCTTGTGCAGCATTTGCCAGTAGTATGAGAGCTCTGCTCACACCAGCTCATACAGCCAATCGTTAAGATTTCAGGAATTTGGCTGTACATTGTCATTTGATTTATTTGTTTGTTTGTTTGTTTATTTATTGAGATGCAGTCTCCCTATGTTGCCCAGGTTGGAGTCCAGTGGTGCTGTCTTGGCTCACTGCAACCTCCGCCTCCTGGGTTCAAGTGATCCTCCTGCCTCAGCCCCCCCAAGTAGCTGGGACTATAGGTGTGCACCACCATGCCCAGCTAATTTTTTTTGTATTTTTAGTAGTGATGAGGTTTCACTATATTGGCCAGGCTGGTCTTGAACTCTTGAGCTCAGGTGATCTGCCCGCCTCGGCCTCCCAAAGTGCTGAGATTACAGGTGTGAGCCACCACATCTGACCCATAGTCATTATTTAACATTAAATTCTACAAACTTCTGTTTTTTGAGACAAGGTCTCACTCTGTTGCTCAGGCCAGAGTGCAGTGGTATAATTATAGCTCACCGCAGCTTCCACTTCCTGGGCCCAAGCAATCCTCCTGCCTCCTGAGTAGTTGGGACAACTGCTGGGCACCACCACACCCAGCTAGTTTAACATTTTTTTGTACAGAGATGGGGTCTTATTTTGTTGCCCTGGTCTCCAGCTCCTGGCCTCAAGTGGTTGTACTGTCTTAGGGCAGTAATTGGGCCAACCAGGCTTACAGGCCTGCAGCACCTCCTCTGGTGCTGGGCCCTGGATGCCCAGCTCTACTTCTAGCCCAGGGTCCCCTGGGAAAGTGCCAGGTCATCACCTTAGGTGATCCACCCACTTCAACTTCCCAAAGTGTTGGAATTACAGGCGTGAGCCACTGCACCTGGCCAATAAAAATGGTTTTTAAAAATCTCTTTAGGGTTGTTACTTAGCACTGAATTACAAGAAAAGAATAGCAAAGCTATGTTTGATAATGGGTTGATTACTCGGGGTGATGGTAATCCAAGAGATTTTGAATTTGGCAGAGCCACATTCATGTGTTAGGAAAATTTTTAGGTCTTTCTGATTACCTTTGGATAGGCTGACCTTTGGACATTTAACCTGTTCACTGACAACCATGCTTTGACTGTGGCTATCCTAACTTGCCCAACATGCCACAAGAGGAGGAAGTCCATGTTTCCTGGGAAACACTCCTTGCGGTGCAAAACCCATTACACACCTAGTCAAACTCAATGTCACACTTCCTCAAAAAGTGAAAAAGCTCAACACTAAAAGAATATGCCTTGGCCAGGTGGGATGGCTCATGCTTGTAATCCCAGCACTTTGGGAAGCTGAGGCAGGTGGATCAGTTGAGATCAGGAATTGAAGACCAGCCTGGTCAACATGACAAAAACCCTGTGTCTACTAAAAATACAAAAATTAACCAGGTATGGTGGTACATGCCTGTAATCCCAGCTACTTGGGAGGCTGAGGCAGGAGAATCATTTGAGCTCAGAAGGTTGCAGTGAGCCAAGAGCACACCACTGTACTGTAGCCTGGATGACAGAGTGAGACCTTGTCTCAAAAAAAAAAAAAAAAAAAAAAAAAAAGCAGAGAGAGAGAGAATATGCCCAATTCAAGGAAAGAGTCTTAGATTATAAATAAAAAATGAGTTTGCTAGTCCAGATCTTTCCGTAACTTTGGGCAAACACCTCACCTTTCTGAGCCTCATTGTTTTCTTCCAGAGAGTGAGGAGCTAAAGCTAAATGATTTCAAGGGTATCTTCCACCATTCTAAATTCTATGATGCTACTCTAAACATTTATATTACTATTTATTCTTGAATTCTCTAACATTTTCTCATCAAGTAAAAACAAAATATTTCGACAAATTGTCACGTTTCCAGAAAGGCTCATATTTTCACCTTTTTAATGTAACAGAAATTAGGCAATGGGAGTGAGTGACAAATGACTTTGCACTGGAGGGAGACAGAGAAGAATGGGTCCTGGAGTGATGTCTACTGTGGGGAAGGCAGCCTTTGCAGAGTGCATGCTTTGGCTTCTAGCTCTTGCATCACAAGCCTGTGATCACAGGTGCTAATTAAGTTAATAAAAAGGCATTTTGTTAAGACACGTGCTCCACACCTGCTGTGTCACCAGGCACAGGTTTCTTGCCTGTTGTGATGGAACAGTTTTTACCAATCAACAATGAAGGCGGAAAGAAAAGAACAGCAAGAAGGAAAAGTCAAACTATAGCCAACATGACCCTGATTCTCCCCTGACAAATGCCTATTAATTTGTCCTGACACATTGGGAAAGCACACATTCTGAATTTGACATTCCCAATTACGTAGGGCGTGACAACTTTGTTTAATAGTTATTATACTTCCCAGAAATAACATGCTGTCCTCACCCAGTTAAGGATGAGGTTGATAAACTGAGAAATTATAGCACGTAGAAACATAATTTTAGATGCAAATGAAGAGCACACCCATCTCTCTATAATGACACTTTTACTGAATGGTCTGGGGGTCACTTATTTGGAATTATCTTATTTTATTTATTTATTTTTTTGAGACAGAGTTTCGCTTTTGTTACCCAGGCTGGAGTGCAATGGCACGATCTCGGCTCACCGCAACCTCTGCCTCCTGGGTTCAGGCAATTCTCCTGCCTCAGCCTCCTGAGTAGCTGGGATTACAGGTACACGCCACCATGCCCAGCTAATATTTGTATTTTTAGTAGAGACGGGGTTTCACCATGTTGACCAGGATGGTCTCGATCTTTTGACCTCGTGATCCACCCGCTTCCACCTCCCAAAGTGCTGGGATTACAGACTTGAGCCACCGCGCCCGGCTGGAATTATTTTAAACAGCTTGGTAACGTCTCTTTGACTTGAATGCAGATGCTATGTGTTTTTGTTTGAGGAAGATACATGAAAAATATTTTTAGCTTAAGCTACATTTTATGTTAAAAATGGACATATCCCAACATATTAGGATTCTATTTAGTTGTGAGAGACTTAAAATCCAAAATAAGAGTTTATTTTCCTCCATGTAGAAATCCTGGCAGGATGTCCAAGTTTAACACGGTGCTCCACGGTGTCAGGGACCAAGCAGCTCCGACCCCTTTCTCTGCTGTGCATGACTGAAATTCTCAAGCTCATCTTTTGGTTCAAGGTGAAGTTGTACACAATTTCCACTTACTTTTATTTTTTATTTTTTCGAGATAGAGTTTCACTCTTGTTACCCAGGCTGGAGTGCAATAGCACAATCTTGGCTCACTGCAACCTCTGCCTCCCAGGTTCAAGCGATTTTCCTGCCTCAGCCACCCAGGTAGCTGGGATTACAGGTGCCCACCACCACACCTGGCTAATTTTTGTATTTTTAGTAGAGATGGGGTTTCTCCATGTTGGTCAGGCTGGTCTTAAACTCCTGACCTCAGGTGATCCGCCCACCTCGGCCTCCCAAAGTGCTGGTATTACAGGTGTGAGCCACCAAGCCTGGCCCACAGTTTCCACTAACATCTTATTGGCAATCCTTAGACACAAGACAGGGCTTCAAGGAGGCTGGAGAAGTAAGTCCTCTCTTCTAGGCAGCTATGTGCCTTGCTTAAAGTTGTGTGTTCTGTGGTTATAGAATAAGGGTTGGCGGCCGGGCGCGGTGGCTCACGCCTGTAATCCCAGCACTTTGGGAGGCCGAGGCGGGTGGATCACGAGGTCAAAATATCGAGACCATCCTGGTCAACATGGTGAAACCCCGTCTCTACTAAAAATACAAAAAATTAGCTGGGCATGGTGGCACGTGCCTGTAATCCCAGCTACTCAGGAGGCTGAGGCAGGAGAATTGCCTGAACCCAGGAGGCGGAGGTTGTGGTGAGCCGAGATCGCACCATTGCATTCCAGCCTGGGTAACAAGAACGAAACTCCGTCTCAAAAAAAAAAAAAAAAAAAAAAAAGAATAAGGGTTGGCAATCATTTTCCTGTAAAAGGCCAGTTACTAAATATTTTAGGCTTTGTGAGGCACATGGCCTCTGTATTAACCCTGCTGTTACTATACATGGCAGCCATAGAACCTACACAGATGAATGTTTGTGGTTGTGTGTCTGTATGAGTGCGTTTTCACGCTGCTGATAAAGTAATACCCGAGACTGGGTCATTTATAAAGAAAAAGGTTTAATGGATTCACAGTTCCACATGGCTGGGGAGGCTGCACAATCATGGTGGAAGGGGAAAGGCACGTCGTACATGGTGGCAGATGAGAGAATGAGAGCGAAGTAAAAGGAGTTTCCCCTTATAAAACCATCAGATCTCATGAGACTTATTCACTACTATGAGAACAATGTGGGGGAACTGCCCCCATGATTCAATTATCTCCCACCAGGTTCCTCCCACAACCCATAGGAATTATGGGAGCTACAATTCAAGATGAGATTTGGGTGGGTATACAGCCAACCCATATCAGTGTCAATAAAACTTTATTTACAAAAGCAGGTGGTGGGCTGGATTTGGCCCACAGGCTGACCTCTGTTATAGAAAATGGGTAATAATAGAAAAAAGAAAATAGAGATCTCTAGTAACTTCTGCTAGGCTAGGTAGTAGAAATATTAGTACTATTAACTCTGGCAAGTCCTTCCCTCCCCTCTTCCTCTTTAGTACAGTTGGTGGCAAGCAAGATTGCCAACAATTTATAAAAATCAGCGAGATGGCAGAGGAGGACACGTTTGTTTAAGGCTCTCTGAAAGGCTAGCTAGTGAATTTCAATTATGCCTTTTGTTTATCATTCTGACTCTTACTTTGCTTAGGTGAAAATTTCTGTCATATTTCTGACCTTAGTAAGATGATGGCTATTTTCTGGACCACTATTGGAAGGTGCAAATTTCCATGGAGTAAGCAAGCTGACTGAAGGAAACGCAGAGGAGACACTCAGAAAACTCCCTGAGGGAACAATTATGGTTTTCCCCTCTTTTTTGGCAGAGTGGGATAGAGCTGTGATATTTTATTTAATTATATCTCTTTAAGATCTTGTCTTTCTTCTGGGTGGACAGGGGAGAAGAGGTGTAGGATTACCCTAGAGAGCTCCCCCTTGAGTAAAATAAACCCACAAGAAGTTTGATAAACATTTGTTGTGTAAATTTTACCTTTCATCAGTTTTATTTAACTTATTTTAATGAATCCAGTGATAACATGTGACTTAAGTCACATATAGATACACAGGCCAGTTGTGGTAGCTCACACCTGTAATCCCAGCACTTTGGGAGGCCGCGGTCGGCAGATCACCCGAGGTCAGGAGTTCGGGACCAGCCTGGCCAACATAGTGAAACCCCATCTCTACTAAAAATACAAAAATTAGCTGGATGTGGTGGTGTACACCTGTAATCTTAGCTACTCAGGAGGCTGAGGCAGGAAAATCACGTGATTCTGGGAAATGGAGGTTGCAGTGAGCCGAAATCACAGCACTGTACTCTAGCCTTGGTGATAGAATGAGACTCCACCTCAAAATTAAAAAAAAAAAAGTACACACACACACACAGACACACAGACACACACACACACACACACACACACACACACAAATGTAGAATTAAGAGTCTTCCATAATTCATCCTTCCTAGTCTCTCCCAAAATGTCCCAACAGTCAAACACTGTGCCAGAAAAGAGGAATTGTCAACAGTGATTTCTGGTGCTTCCAGAACTCTTAAAGTGAAATAAGCTGCTCTGAAAACTTCCTTCCTGGTTCCTTTTTCATTTTTCCTTTTGAGACCAAGTCTCACTCTTTCTCCCAGCCTGGAGCGCAGTGGCGCAATCTTGGCTCACTGCAACCTCCTCCTTACAGGTTCGAGCAATTCCCTGCCTCAGCCTCTCAAGTAGCTGGGATTACAGGCGCCTACCACCACGCCCAGCTAATTTTTGTATTTTTAGTAGAGACGGGGCTTCACTATCTTGGCCAGGATTGTTTTGAATTCCTGACCCCTGGGATTATCCCAAGTTCTGGGATTACAGACGTGAGCCACCATACCTGGCCTCCTTTTTCTTAAGATCCACTTAAGATCTAGTTAGTAGGATATTAACATGCCAGATCTTCCCCTTCCACAGTATTGACTACTGGTAAATCTACTTTTAGCATCTCCCATTTTGTATTCAGTAGAAAAGATACTTTAATTAAACTGGTCAAACGTTTTTACTAAATGGATTCAAAACTGGAACAATAGTGGCTTTAGAGTTCCACATTTATGAAAGGTGACTCATAAAGTTAGCATGCCACAGTCAAGTTAAAAGAAGCTGAGAGATAATTTAGTCCAAATTTCTTAGTCGACAGAGAGGAATTGAGGTACAGGGAGGGAAAATAATGAGCCTAGGATTAATTAGCATGCCTAATGAATAATAAAATGTGGTTGAAACTCAGATCTTCTGTTTGCAGAAACACTTGAAACCTCCACTCTCCCTCCTGAAGAGCTGGACTCAGTGGGAGAGCATCCCTTACAGGAAACGGGAGTGGCGGGATGGCCGCCTGTTGACAGTTGGGCGTCAGGAAGTGGAAGGATAAGATGTCTGACTTTTCCATTTCTTCTTGTTTTCTCTTTCTGGTTTTACTAATTTATTTAAAAATTACATTGTTCAAGTCAAATTAACACGATATTCATTGTTGGATTTCTTTTTTTATCTTTATTTTGTTTTATTTTTTTGAGACAGAGTCTTGCTTTGTCGCCAGGCTGGAATGCAGTGGTGCAATCTCAGCTCACTGCAACCTCTGCCTTCCAGTTCAAGCAGTTCTCTACCTCAGCCTGCCAGGTAGCTGGGATTATAGGTATGCACCACCACACCCGGCAAATTTTTGTATTTTTAGTAGAGATGGGGTTTCACCATCTTGGCCAGGCTGGTCTTGAACTTCTGACCTCGTGATCCACCTGCATCGGCCTCCCGAAGTGCTGGGATTACAGGAGTGAGCCACCGTGCCTGGCCTGGGTTTCTTTAGTTCATTCTGCTGCTCTATCAGTTTCCCAAGGGTTTTGTGTGTGTGCCTTGTGCTATTCATTGTCCTATGGCCTTGTTGCTCACTTCCACAGAGGCATATGTAAGTGCTTTTCTTGCTTTAGAATATATGCTGTGTGCTGTAATCACTGTATCTACTGTTTTTGTAGGTGGCATGGACATTCTGTTGACATTGACTCCGAGTGCTCCCTGGAGCATTTTCTATGCTTAGCAGAGCTATAGTTTTTTTTTTTTTTTTTTTTAAGAGAGAGAGTGTCTTGCTTTGGAGTACAGTGGCATGATCTTGGCTCACCACAGCCTCTACCCCCAGACTCAGGTGACTCTCTCACCTCAGCTTCCTGAGTAGCTGGGACCACAGGTGAACACCACCACACACGACCAATTTTTGTATTTTTTCTAGAGACAGGGTCTTGCCATATTGCCCAGGTTAATCTTGAACTCAAGCGATCCTCCCACCTTGGCCTCCCAAATTGCTGGGAATTACAAGTGTGAGCCATGGTTTTGTTCCATTATCTACTAAGGGGCTGTCAAAACCCTGTGTAGAGTGCCTGCTTGGCTGATACGCTGTTCTGCTTTCATTTCACACATCACTTTCCCAAGAATAGCAGAGAAAACTCTAGCAAAATGACAGAGAGCCTTGGCCATGGCCATCCTCACCTCCTGCAGATTCTGTGTCTCACAACTCACAGTAGACAGTTTGCCAGCTTTTGGACTTGGTGAAAACACACTCTTTGGAAGAGCAGGGGAGCCCAGAAGTTCACAGAGAAGAAAGCTCTCAAATTCTTTGTGCAACAGTGGTAAATAAGGAGGACCTTGGCTGCTTCTGAACAGGCCATATGTCCTCTGGGACAAGGACAAAGTGTAGTGTCGCAGGGAGACCTGTCCAGACCAGTGGAGAGCACATAGTGTAAGAAGCGCAAGATGTACTGCGGCAGGGTTTCTGGGCTGTTTAAAACATGCTGGGGTGGCTCATGCCGACAATCAAAGCACTGTGGGAGGCCGAGGCGGGTGGATCACCTGAGGTCAGGAGTTTGAGACAGGTCTGGCTAACATGGCGAAACCCTCTCTCTACTAAAAATACAAAAATTAGCTGGGCTGGTGGTGTGTGCCTGTAGTCTCAGCTACTCAGGAGGCTGACACAGGAGAATCACTCGAACCTGGGAGGCAGACGTTGCAGTGAGCTGAGATTGCGTCCCCATAGTCCAGCCTGGGCCACAGAGTGAGACTCTGTCTCAAAAAATAAATATATAAAACAAACAAACAAAAAACATACCGGGGTGTCTCCAGGTTTTTCAGGTGACTTTAAGGAATTAGTCCCAAATCTAGAGGGCATTTGATTTGGCTTAATATGAGAGTTTCGGGGAAGAAAGGAAAAGTATCACATTTAGGCCGAACAAAAAGCTTACTAACATTTCCCGAAAGGTTGGAGTTATTGAGAGTTAAAAATTCAAACTAATGTGTATGGTGGTATAGTTTGGTAAGGGCATAACTACTCAGCACATCTATTAATATATAGGGTCATTTTCATAAGTGGATAAAATTGTTGTAGAGGCATGTGAACATGAGTATATATACACACATATTCATATTCTATATATATAATATACACAGATAACAAACAAAAACATCTATATAAAAATAATATGA